CTGCCAGGTGAGACTATAGCAAAAAGGTAATTACCTAGAAGCCAGGAAAAGGGTCCTCCCCATGGAAGAAAGTCCAACCACATTAGCACCCTAATCTTGGACTTCCAGCCTCCAGAACTATAAGAAATAAATGTTTTTCTGAAGCCACCTTGCCTATAGTATTTTGGAATGGCAACCCAAGTTAACAGAGACAAGAGCATACAGTCATTCTTTGGTATTCAAGGGGTCTGATGCCAGGACCCTCAACCCCATGGATACCAAAATACAAGGCATTATATTTGCACATAACCTATGCACATCCTCTTATATACTTTAAATATCTCCAGGGCTGGGGATATTGCTCAGTGGTAAAACATATGCTTAGCATGCGTGAGGTCCTGGATTCAATCCCCAACGCCCCACACCCACCAAAAAAAACCACCTCTGCATTACTTACAACAAAATGTATGTGACATAAATAATTGTTATACTATATCATTTAGGAAATTATGACAAGAAAAAAAGTTTCTGTGTGTCCCATACAGATGCAACTATCATAGACCTACCTATACAGTATACAAATAAGATGCAGTGCTCACACAAATACTGGAGACGGGACCTGTGGTGTCCAGCAGATATGCTGACACATCGGTTCATCCACATGGATTTAGCATAGTGCTCAGCATACAGCCAATTCAAGTTTTGCTCTTAAGACATTTCTCACATTTTTCCCCCAAATATGTTCAGTCTACAGTTGGCTGAATTGTGAATGCAGAAAACCTGAATGTGGAAGGCTGATTATATACTTTCAATTCACTCTAATCTGACTTCAGCTGTGGCCATCACTTCAGTGAGTGAACTGAGCAGTGTCCACCCTGTCTTGAAAACAAATAGCCATTTTCAATCACCTTCTTAATCTCTGTGTGGCACTCAGTCCAATTGCCCCCTCCTTCAGAGATCTTTTCCTTGAATTCCTGACACAACTCTCTCACTGTATCCTTCTTACCTCTCCAGCTGTTCCTCCTGTGCCAGCTCCCGATCAGCTGGTATTCTTCAGGGATCCAGCCTGAACACTCTATTCACTCTTTTCCAAGGTAATCATACCACTTATATTGCTTCAGTTACCACTCATCTCAGTAACTTCGAAAGTTACATCTCTAGCCACCAAAGAACTCCAGACTTAAGCTGCCAACTACCAATTCAACYTCTCTCCTTCAATGTCTCACTGACTCCACAAATTCAATTCAACATTTCCTAAAAGGAATGAATGATGATTTTTCCCCTCCAAAACAATACATTCTCCTTTCTTAGAGTTTCCCATCTTAATAAATGATACCATTTACTGGTCATCAAAACCAATATACCAGGGAATCATCTGTCAACTTTTCTTTTCTCACCCTTTAGTTAAAATTTTTTTTAAAAGTTCCTATCATTTATGTGTCCACTATAGCTTAATCAAAGTTTTTAAATAAATAAAAGTTACTGATATTTTTGCTCATAAATACTTCCTGAATTAATCCATTTCACACCTTTGTCTCTTGTCTGGCTACTATAGTAACATCCTTGCTGGGCTTTTAAGCACCATCACTGCTGGGGGCCTTCTTGGGTTTCCCTACTCTCACAACACAGTGCTGCCTGTTGGCAGGTCCTACAATGACCATAATCTACTGACTAATTACATAATTCCACCTTCATTGTCTGCTTGTCCTCAGAAACACACACTTCATCAGGGAAGGGCCCTAGATGTTTCATTAACTCTTTTGGTCTAGGATCCTACTCCTGTATATGAACCTCTGTTCTCCTGTGCCCACTATTGAGAATGAGCACACTTTCTACTTTTCCAATTTATCTAAGTCCCTTACACCCTCTGTGGCCCGAAACCTGAAYTGGTTCCTCTCTTTGTTCTCCCCAGCACTGCTATCCCTAATATCCTGCCACTCACCACATACTGCCTTGCATCATGATGCACTGTCTGGATATGTCACATCTTCCACAGAGAATATAAGTTCTAAAGGATAGAAGGAATAAAATATATATAATCAGGTTTTCTAAACTGCCAGTGCTATAAAATATTTTTGTAAGTATCTTGACATTGATTTCCTATTCTCCAACACATCTAGCCTATTAAGGGCATGTTAAACTGCACTGAAGTTTCCAACTAAAAAAAATTAYTTTTTTTGGCAGTGGGTACTAGGGCTCAATCCTAAGGCCTCACACATGCTAGGCAAAGCTTTACCACTAAGCTACACCCCTAGCTCTTTTTTTTTKATTTATTTGTTTATTTGGGGGGGGGCACCCAGGAATGAACCCAGGGGCACTTAATTACCAAGCCATATCCCCAACCCTTTTTATATTTTATTTAGAGACAGGGTCTTGCTAAGTTAAGTAGGACCTCACTAAGGTGCTGAGGCTAGCTTTGAATTTGCAATTCTCCTGCCTCAGTTTCCAGGCCACTAGGATTACAGGCATGGCCACTGCACCCAGTCCCTAGCTTTTAAAATTTTATTTTGAGACAGGGTCTCGTTAAATTACCAAGGCTGGCCTTGAACTTGTGATCTTCCCAGCCTATTGGCTGAGATTACAAGTGTATGCTACAACATTTGGCTTCCAACTAAATTTTAAGATGTCTTTCTTTTTTTTTTAACATTTATTTTTTAGTTGTAGGTGTACACAGTACCTTTATTTTATTTTTAAGTGGTGCTGAGGATCAAACCCAGTGCCTCATGAATGCTAGGCAAGCACTCCACCTCTGAGCCACTACCCCAACCCAAGATGTCTTTCTTTTTTTACTGATTCAAAACTATCAGCAGCTAAAAAGATTAAMGGCATCTTTAATTTGTTAAAAGACTGGGGACCAGAAACATGTCCTTGCTGCCTCTTCACACAAAAGCTTCCTTCATTGTAAAATAAGGCATAGATCAAACACAAAAATCACTAAGACCAGCATTTAAATATATTTATAATATTTATAATCATGTTAACATGACAGTTATGATTATTTTCATTCTCTACTATTCCCACAGAAGAACACTGTGAAAACAGCTGGATTTTCAAATATTTGAATTTTAGCAAAATGCTTTTAATAAAAAAAAAACTCCTGTCACAGACCACACACCACCAATAGAATCTATTACCTTTTTCCCATGATGCCCCGACTACCCCACACTTTCCCAGTTAATCTTTGTTCCCATTCCCTTTAAAATCTCTTGTTCTACGAATCTGCCCCATGAATTTCAATCTATCACCCTTTCTTGATTCCCCTTGGGAAATAATCCCATTCCCTCTAGACTTCCACTGCTCTTAGTCTGTACTTACTTCTTTTACAGCACTTACCAGACACTGGCTCATGTTACAGTCATGTGTGCACAAGTCAAACTCTTCTACTAGATTATTTGTTCCTTGGTGACACATTGGTTGACTCAGTCATTTCTGTATTCTTCACAATCCCTGGCAGAGCATCCTGCACACAGTAAGTGCTCGATAAATTTTACTTTCTCATCAATGGTATGTTCATCAATGGTCTCTATGTCACTTCTGTACATATTTATTCCATGTGTATCAGCAGATTTACATCATCAAAACCCACCCAGAGGAAGGGTGGCTCTTGCCTGGAATCCCAGCAACTCACAAGGCTGAGGCAGAAGGATCGTGAGTGCAAACCCAGCCTCAACAACTTAGTGAGGCCCTCAGCAACACAAGGAGACCCTGCCTCTAATGAAATATAAAAAAGGTCTGGGGGTATGACTCCATAATTAAGATCCCTGGGTTCAATTCCTGATACCAAAAAAAAGAAAAAGAAAAGAAAACCCACCCAGAAAGCATACCTTCTCCTATGCATGCACTGTCCCAGGCTCTGTGAACTCAAAGATGAGTAAGACACAGAATCAACAGGACTCAGAGAACTCATACAGTATTTTTAAAAAATATAATATGCCCAGAACCACGAAAAAACAACAACAACAAACCAATATCAGGCTATAAACAAAAGAGGTATGTACAGGATCTTGGCAAACACAAAGGAGTGTGCTGAAGCTAGAAGTGGTCAACTGTACAATGTTAAACAACTGAATGCTTACTACCAAATCCTACTGGATGTTTCTGTAGTCAAAAATCTAAAACTACTGACCATGAAATTAAAGTTCTGAGTGCAACCTTGAATTCCAAGTCAAAGAATTGACTGCATCTGGAAAAGTAATTGTTTCTTGCATCTGCTTACTCCTAGGTTACTATTCGGAAGCAAGGAAAACTGAGGGAGATGTTCTGAACAATTAATAAGTCCAGTAACGTCAATGCAAAAAGAGTTACAAAGCGTGTTACATTCTTATTGGGAACTCCGGGTTCAATCTGCAGCCCCGTCACCTTCATCCAGCTGATGCTTATTACCAGCTTGCATCTCCCGCCAGGCTGTGAGCTGCACCAGACTTGCCTAAGATCAAGATCTCATGCCCCTTTGGAAACTCCGACGGCCCCAGGCCTGGACCACACGTGCACTCCACAAATGAATGAAAGCCATCCTTTTTCAATTCTATTTATCAATGAGACCCGGGCCTAGGGTCACTCTCTTGCCCTACMAGCAGATCTGGAGAAAGGCTGCCTGACCCCAACTCTCAGGCGCCTTTCATCCCCAGACCCGGACTCCAGCCCGATTTAAATCCCAACACTCGGAAACATTCCCTCTTCCACAACCCGCAAGGTGCCGCGTTCACTTACAAAAGGGGAGCGAGGTCGCCGTCAGAGAAAAAACAGGCTAATAGTACAACCACCAAGACAGTGGCGCCGCCCGCGCCTCCGGAACAGGAAACCGAGGGAATTAAAAAGCAAACCTGCGAAACTGGGTCAAGGGAGGGAAATCTCTTGGGCACGCCGCAGCGCCTTGTGCGCACTGATTGGCCCATCTACGAGAGCGATGGACGTCTAACCCAATCGTCTATGTCGAGCGCTCTGGCGCCCGTCCCCCCGCCCTCTACGTGCTCCAATCCGGAAGCGCAACCGGGTGAGCGCTCATTTCCGTCGCGAGAGAGTGGCGGGGCAGCGACTTGGGCGTTCTCTGGTGCTCGCTGGGTTCCTCCGAATCTCTGGGACACAGAAGGGCGCGCAGATATGAGTGACTCTGCGGGAGAGCTCACTCGCCTCAGGTGCTACTCCGAGCTCCCAGTGTGGGTAGTGGAGGATCATCAGGAGGTGAGCGGGCGGCTAAACGGCCCTGGGTCAGAATCTCCCAGAGCCCTGACGAGTCGGATTTCCAACCCAGGTGCCCTGACTCCGAGACCCCTTGCTCTCCACTCGATTGGCGCTGGTTTGCACCTGTCTCCCGCATCTCTTTCACAGCCCTGCTTGCCTGCTGTTTAAGCAGAAGGCTTTATACTAACAACACAGCTCTCATCTGTGACATGGGAACAATAATTATAGTACGCCCAGGACCGATAGGAGTTTTCGTGCGTATTATATTCATGAATCTTTAACCACAGTGTCCAGCATTTATGAATGTTAAAAGATGTTTCCGTTTTTATGACCGTTCCCCTTTACAGTATTAAAATTGTTGCCTTAAACTAGAGGGAGTCGTCAAAGGAGTGTCATGGATCTAAGAAATTTGTTTAAAATAATCATTAATAGGCTATGGCGCTTTTGGGGATATAAGAGAGAAAGAGGACCTGAGAGTATAGCTCAGAGGTAGAGCGTTTGCCCAGCATACCTGAGGTCCTGGGTTATATCCCAGCACCAAAAAAAAAAAAAATTACGGATGGAAAAAGTTAAGAGAAAGACACAGAAACTCTACATATAGTGTGTATGRGCCTGAGAGAAGGCCAAAGTTTCGGTTAAGCAATGCTTTCAAATTCAGTATTAAACCTAGAACTGTAGAGGATGTAAGGGGAAAAAAGCCTTATAGACCCTAAGATTTAGGTTACCTTGAAAACACACAGTCAGTGCTAGAACCAGCAGCTGGAGATGCAAGTTGTAAGTTCATAGGAACAAAATAAAGCCTGATGTCATCATCTGAACTATCTACAATAAATGCATTTTATTCTCTCACTTTTTAAAAAATATTTTTTCAGTTGTAGTTGGACACAATATCTTTATTTTATTTATTTGTTTGTTTCTAATGTGGTGCTGAGGATCCCAGGGCCCCCCACGTGCTAGGTGAGCACTCTACTGCTGAGCCACAATCCTAGCCCCATTATTCTCTCACTTTTTAATCACATGGTATGCTTTTAATTATGTGCAGTTATGTTTAACATTGGTTTTTAGTGTGTATTTAAGTGTATGCTCATGATTTCAGTGCCCATTTCTGAATGTGTGTATGTGTCTTTCATAGGTTCTGCCTTTTATATACCGGGCCATAGGCTCAAAGCATCTTCCTGCCAGTAATATAAGTTTTTTACATTTTGACTCACATCCAGACCTCCTTATTCCTGTGAATATGCCAGCAGACACCGTGTTTGATAAGGAAACGCTCTTTGGGTAATGTGATTTCTTGTTGATGAACTTTTATGTGTTTGAAATACAACTTGCAGTAGATGATAAATAAGAGGGCCTATGAGTATACCCTCATGATAGATCTCTTGGCTAGTATGCTTAAGGTCCTGAGTTTAATCCCTAACACTGGGGGGAGGGGGGGGAGGAGGAGAAATAGACTTTGCTAAGCTCATGGGGTTTTGTTTTTTCTTTTTGCCATTTTCATTTTATATAGAACAAGTGTTGATGAACTTTTAAAATGTGTACATGGAGTTTGGTGCCACTGCCTGGATTGATCTTAGGACATCAACCCACCATTAATCTTGAACCAGCAGCGCAAATGTCAACACACAAAGGGAAATTATACCTATTATTTTTATGAAAATAGTTGTGATCCAGTGATTATTCTGAGAAGATCTCAGGAACCTCCCAAGGAACTACACTCTGAGGACTGCTCTCAAAATATTGTGGCTCAAATGACATTCGGGGAAAAAAAAACACTTAAATTTTAATGCTTCTTCCCTATTTCTTTTCCAGAGAATTAAGTATTGAAAATTGGATTATGCCTGCAGTTTATGCTGGCCATTTTTCTCACGTAATATGGCTTCATCCCACATGGGCTCAGCAAATCAGAGAAGGCAGACACCACTTTTTAGTAGGTAAAGACACTTCTACCACAACCATCAGGTAATTCACTCATATTTATAAATACAAAAGGAGTTGCATATTTCTATCTTATTTTGGATTTTTGTAATAACTAAGTATTCCTATAAACAAATAGGGTCAGATTAAGCCTCAGCTCTTCCTAAAAGAGTTTTTAAAACACCAAAAGCAGATTTTCAAGTCTCTTGACCTCTGTYGTATACTATGTATATTTCATTGCTTGTAAAATTAATTTTTTAATAAAATGATCTTCATCTTCTGGAATTTGACCTTCATCAATGATTTAAATTCAACAAGTCACTTAATTTCCTTATAGATTTATATATTCAGTGGTACATTTTACGATCTCCTTCCAATGCAACTATTATGTGTTGAATGTAACAAACAGGAAATGAGGGAGCAAATTTTTTTTCTTTGATTCTCTTTTTTTTTTTAATAGATACAATGACTAAATTAGTAGAGTTTAGGTTTTAATATTATTTTAATATTAGTTTTAGTTAATTAAATTATAGCTTAGACTAAGTTAAATTATAGCATCCTCTTCCTTGAGTTACATGTGCATCTATTGTCATATAATTTATTTAACTGATGTTCTGTTTATATTTAGAAATATCTATGTGTTCTTGAATTTCTAAGTTTTTGTGTGATGAGATGAATACTTTAAGTAGTGTAAGCACATCTTTCTAGAAGCTAAAGGATAATGAGATGAAATGGTAATACATTGAAGATGAAATTGTCTCATTGAAAATTATACTTTTTATTTCTGATAGTTTTAATGATACTCTTAACATTGGTATTGGTATTAAGTGTTCTTACMATTTACACAATAATTTTATGTGATATGAAAGTTGTATTTATTGTACAATTTGAAAGAAATAATCAGGACTCAATATTAAATATTGTACATAATACTGATCTATGAGTAAGAGTCAGTTTTATTGACTAAGTGAATAAGCCTAATTTAACCTACAAATTCAATAATTTTGGATGATCTAGACAGATATTCAAAACTTAATATGTGATAATGACATTTGGATTATTTTTATTATCTCATGATTTTAGTTAATCCTGTAAGTAAAAATTATGGGAAAGGACAGCATGGTGGAACCTGCCAATAGTCCCAGTACTCAGGATGCTAAAATGGGTGAATCACTTGAGTTCAGGAGTTTAAAACCAACCTGGGCAACATAGCAAGACCCTCATCTCAAAAATTTAAAATATATGGAAGAGACACATTACATATGGTTAAACAACCTAAGTTTATGAGTGTGTTTGTGTAACTAGGAACAAAGCAAAACTTCCATAATGAAAAAGAATATAAATTAAGCCTGGGAAATATAGCTTTATCTTTCTTCAGATAATGTAATAAATAAAAGTTTTTAATAAATTTGGGCATTAGTTTTATTGTTATTAATCTATTTTTAGAAACTAAATCTACAGCTATGTATGCTAGGTCTGAGCAGGTGAAAAATAAATACTGTTACTTTAGTTGTATAAGGCATGCCTCTGGAAGTATTTGACTCTATTGTTCTAAGTTCTTACCTAGGTATAATGTAGTTGAAAATAGAACATGTTGGTGTGCCTAGAATCAGAAATCCAGCTGGGCATAGTGGTGCAAGCCAGTAGTCCCAGCTACTCAGGAGATTGAGGCAGGAAAATCAGTTGAGCCCAGGAGTTGGGGCCCAGGCTGGACAACAAAACGACATCTGTCTTTATTAAAAAGAGAGAAATTTTCAACCTTAGAAATACATTCTGCAAGTGTATAGGTATGTTTTAAGTTGTTTTTCATGTTAAAAATACCGTGGTTATATAGAATCTAATGAAGCTTTGAAATATGTCAGAGGAAGCTTTTATTAAAAGAAATTATTTCCAGTTATTAATTTTCTCTTAAGCAAAATTTTCAGATTAAGATTCAGCTGATATGAGAGAAACCAAAGTCTCATGGGCTTAAACAAGAGATTTATTTCTTTCTGGTGTAAGCGTTCAGCATGCACAGTCTAAGACTGTGTGGCAGCTCCACAGTTTGGGGAACCACTGATCCTTCTGCTTTTATGTTTCACCATCTTTAGAGTCCTCATAGTCCAAAATAACTTTGCACCTTTGTGTTCTTGTTGTCAATCAGCAAGGAGGGAGAGAGCAAGGCACTATATACTTTTCTTCATTCACAACCCATGGACTGTACTTACTCAAATAGCCACATCTAGCTAAAAAGTAGATATGAAATATAGTCTTTACTTTGGGAAATTGTGTGTGCCCAGCTAAGAATGTGCATAATGCCATTTCTACAGAACAGGAATACAAATGGTAAAGGCAGCTCTCAGTGTTTGTCAAATATGTCTTTTCTTGTATTTCTGTAATGCTGCAAAGTCAGCTAATTTGTCCATTCTTCTTTAAAATAGTTTTTCCTTCTGTTTCAGGGTTACAAGTACAGATTATTACTTCCTAAGTGATGGTCTTTATGTACCTGAGGATCAGCTGGAGAACCAAAAACCATTACAATTAGATGTGATTTTGGTGAAACCTTGTAAACTCTGTGACAATTCAGAAGAAAGTGCTGCAGTGTCTTCTGCAAAGAAGCCCAGACTAACACTGGGAAATGCAGAAAACACTGCCTCTGCTAACTGTGACTTGGATTCAGAAGGACTGATGAAAGACACCATGACACAGAAAAGTGACCAAGCTTGCCAGGAGCCATCATGTTCATGTTCTGAAAGTCAGCAATGCCACACTACAGCCAGCACTAAGGAAATTATGGAAATCTTAAAGCAGGGGGATGCGTTTGTTTTAGATATTGACTTAGATTTTTTTTCTGTCAAGAATCCCTTTAAAGAAATGTTCACTCAGGTAAATATGGTATTTTGTATGTGTGTGGGGGGAGGTAGTACTAGGGATTGAACCAGAGGCACTCTACCACAAGCTACACCCCAATCCTTTTCTTCATTTTGAGACAGGGTCTCACTGAGTTGCCCAGGCTGGCCCCAAACTTGTGATCCTCCTGGCTTAGCCTCTTAAGTCACTGGGATTTTAGGCATGTACCACCATGCCCAGCTCTGAATATGCTGTTTTTATACCATAAATCTTGAAAAATCTGTAACATTTCTCTTAAGATTAGGGATAGTAAGCTTCTGCAAATAGCCAGTTAGTGTTATTTTAGGTTTTTGAGGCCACATTCTCTGTCATATGTTCTGTTTTATTTTATGTGTTTGTTTTTGTAACCTCTTAAAATTATGTACAGATTGAGGCTAGGGTTCTGGCTCAGTGGTACAGCACTTGCCTCGAATGCATGAGGCACTAAATTTACTCCTCAGGATCACATAAATAAATAAAATAAAGGTATTATATCCATTTACAACTAAAACAAAAATTATATACAGATTGAGCATTCCTACTCTGAAAATCCAAAATCTGAAGTGCTGAACACCATGATGAAGAACACCAGTAAAATCTATAAATATTCTGAAATCTGAAATACTTCTGGTTTCAAGCATTTTGGATAAATATTCAACTTCTATTATAATACTTTATAATTTAATAACATTTTTTAATATCGTGGAAAGAGCAGAGAGTTTTTGTTACATCTATGCTTACTGGCTGTATGATCTTGGGAAAGATACTTAACCTTTCTGACTTGTGTTTTTTCAAGTATAAAGTAGAAATAATAATTATACCAGCAGACTGGTGATGTAGCTCAGTGGTAGAGTGGTTGGAGCCGAGTTCAATCCCCAACACTAAAAGTAAATAAATGAATAGTAATCAGACCCAACTCTTGGGATTGTTGGATCAGTAAAGCACTAAGGATAGTGCCACAACACTGTGCTTAATAATTTAAGCTCTTGGTTATAACGTCTTCCTGGCAGTAGAGTAGTCCTAAATAGGATTTTTGGAGTCAGATATAGCCATCTACATGACAKAACTGTCTAGTTGTACTAAACAAGGGGAAGACTTTCTCCTACAAAGTCTAGGTGTAATAGGCGTCTTTCTTGTTGAGGATAGAGCCACCTAACTGAGGTTCATTGTCTGCCAGTCTGCTCTGCTATTGCCTTAATACTCAGAGTTTTCTTYTGTTGCTTGAGAAATGCTGCACAGTGGACATAGAGAGTTTGTTGTGATTGTTAAAAATATGTATATCATCGATATTAAAAGCTAAAATCAATTTAGATCCTAGAATATAACCACTGATATRATGGGATGTTATTAAAAATGTTCTAATGACCCAGTAGCCACCTGTTCTCCCATACTTTCTTTACTTCATTGTCATGCCCAGCTGGGTAGAGTTTCTCTGAAGAAATTATATTTACAACTGCAATCTTAAATGCCTATTTTCCCTTTGAATAATTATCTAAGATGTTCTCCTTGTGTCACAGGCAAGACTGTTGTTTGCTTAAAGTATRCCATTGAAAAAATTAACAGATATTTTGGTTGTTTTTCAGGAAGAATACAAAATCTTACAAGAATTGTACCAGTTTAAAAAGCCTGGTAGCAACTTAACTGAGGTATCTACTATTCGTTTTTTCTGAATTTTATATTTATCACATATATCATAATTATATCTTGAACTTATTAGAATGATCCCAAAGGACTAAAGGATCCMAAATTCATGTGTGTGCGCATGCGTGTGTGTGTTGTGTTATATAACCCATGGTTAGTACTTGGAAACCATGTATTGACCAGTTGAACTTAAGATTTTCATTATAATAAGATTCTACTTGTTTTTTGAAGGAATAACAACATAATCTTAGTTTTTCAATGTATTTATAGGAAGATTTGGTAGATATTGTTGATACTCGAATTCATCAATTAGAAGATTTAGAAGCAACTTTTGCTGATTTGTGTGATAGTGATGATGATGAAACTGTACAGAAATGGGCTTCAAACCCTGGGTAAGACTCCCAAACATTTTTTTTCCCTCAAATTTGCCAATTTTCAGTTCCAAATATGTCTTTAAATGTATTAAATACATTGCTTTTTAAAAATGAGTATTACTGCTGAAGATATAACTCAGTGGTAGAATACTTACTTGCCTAGCATGTGTGAGGCCCAGGGTTTGATCCCCACCGATTTACTAATAATAGTTAGCATTTAGGGCTGGGGATGTGGCTCAAGCTGTAGCGCGCTCGCCTAGCGTGTGTGCGGCCCGGGTTCGATCCTCAGCACCACATACAAACGAAGATGTTGTGTCCGCCGAGAACTAAGAAAAAATAAATGTTAAAATTCTCTCTCTCTCTCTCTCTCTCTCTCTCTCTCTCTAAAAAAAAAAAAAAATAGTTAGCATTTATTGAATGTTTTGTGTGCTCTATCTCTATGGATTTCTCTTACATTGTGTAACTTTGTTTCTTATAGCAATGTAGGATTCATTATTTTTTTAAAGACCTATTTTTTTTAATATCTTTATTTTTATTTATTTATTTTATGGGGTGCTGAGGATTGAACCCAGTGCCTCACACTTGCAAGGCAAGCACTCTACCACTGAGCTACAACCCCATCCCAAGGGATTCATTATTATTATGTTCATTTAATTCAGAGGAAAGCAAGGCACAGAGTTCAAGTAAGTTGCCCTGAGTTGCATCGTAAGTGGGCATCTTTTTGTTACTGTGCATTAGTAGCCTCTAAATGTAAGTTATTATACTAGATTTTTGGAGAATTAAAGATGGGCAGTCCCTGTTCTAAGTAGAACAAAAAAACTAATCTCTTAACAGAGAAGAAAATTACTTGACAAGTAAATTTCAGTATGAAAACTTGGCTCCTTTTAAGAATAACCTAACAAGCCAGGTATGGTGGCACATGCCTGTAATCCCAGCAACTTAAGAGACTGAGGCAGGAGGAATTCAAGTTCAAAGCCAGCTTCAGCAACTTAGACCCTAAGCTACATAGTGAAATCTTGTCTCAAAATAAAAAAAGGACTGGGGATATGGCTTGGTGGTTAAGTACCCCTAGGTTCAAACTCTAGTAGCAAAAAAAAGTAAATAAATAACCCAATAAATGTTTAAGATAATGAGTATGCCAGTTACCCTGATTTGATCATTGTATACTATATACATGTATGGAAGTACTACATTATATCTCATAAATATGTACAATTATTGTGTTTTAGTTWAAAAAAAAAAAAGAATAGCCCAACTATAACTAAAGGAGTTTATTTTCAATCTGTCCATTAAGAGCAGGATTTGAAGTCTAATTCTTCATCAGGTGATTTATTTGGGCGATTCTTTCATTCTTAATGTTACTTTGAAAATGTGGAGGGGGATGAAAGCCTTTCACAATGAAATCCTTTAATATTGGACCTGGTATAAAAGTGTATTAACGTAGATATTACAGTTGCTTTTCTTTATAATAATTCTTTAAATCATGTAAACTCAGAGAGCCAGAAGAGTAAAAATCATAGGCAAATTTTTATCCTCATGTGCATAGGAAGATCAAAATTAGTTTAAGACAATCTCCCACATGTTGTGAGATTGCTTCTATTTACACTGTAGAGAACAATCAGCTATTAAAACAACAATATTACATGAGAAATTAGAATCACAAACCTACCAAATTTGTCATGATGGGTATTGAAAGTAATTCATCAGCTGTCCAGAAGAATGCAGAAACTGAGACAGTGGTTGCCTCTGGAGAAAGAAATCATGGCTAAAAGATGAAGTATATGACCAAGTGATGCCTTCTTTTGCTATGTACAGGTATTACTTATTCAAAATATTCATTGTAACTTTTACTTTAAAATATTCATAAAGATTTAGTCATTGTCATTAAAGAATTGGTATAAAATAATGCCTAATAGTTTCATCACAGCAGTAAATATTGATCAGGCACTTGAACATCAGTTAATGATTTTTTTTTTTCCTTAAATATAGGGAACTGGTTCTACAAGTGATACCCTCCTTTTTTTTTTTTTTTTTTTTCCTTTTTTTGGTACCAGGAATTGAATACTGGGGCACTCGACCACTGAGCCACATCCCCAGCCCTATTTTGTATTTGTTTTAGAGACAGCTCATTGAGTTGCTTAGCACCTCGAAGTTGCTGAGGATGGCTTTAAACTCACAATCTTTCTGTTCAGCCTCCCCAACTGCTGGGATTATAGGCGTGCGCCACCACGCCCAGCTTCTTTTTTAAAATTATGATGGAAGAGGGAGATAAATAAGTCTCATGACATGAGTCTTCTTAGAAATACTGAAAAGTACTCACTATTTTGTGATTCCATGAAGTCTTAAGCTGAGTTTAAACTTCACCAGCAAGAACAAAAATAAGCCAGAAGCCTTGGAGTCCTAAACCAACTGTAGACCTTCCACTGAAACCCTGTCTGCTGCTGGGCATGCCTAGGTAGTTCTTCAGCATCTGCAGGAAGTTCCAGGGCAGAGTTGAAGACTCAACAATACWACAACATCATGAGTTTAGACTCTTGTTGGAATTGTGAAGGAGGTGGTAGGGCTGGGAGCTGTGCAATAGATAATGAAAAGTAGATAAGATAATAAAGAACACTTATTTCTTAGTATTTTAAGGTGAGACTTGAACAGTTTTTATCGTTCAAAGCATTGTATGAAGCATATTATTTATAGTAAATATTAAGTGTAATGTATTATTTGCTACTGTAATTTTAGTTGAGGGGTTTTGGTGTTTCATTGAGTGGGATGGCTTTTTTTCAGAATGGAATCACTAGTTCCACTTGTACAGAGTTTGAAAAAACGGATGGAAGTGCCAGATTATGAAATGGTAAGTATTTTATATTAAAATATAAAGTTGACCACTTATAAAAACAGTTTCCTGGGTGGAAAAAAATTGGTTTTTGTTAAAGTGATTGATTTTTATTTGTTTTTCTGAAGTCTGAATGAATTGCTAAGAGATAAGTGAAAAAATACATATTTTATAGAAGCCAGAATACTGAAAAGTTTTCTAAGAAAAACAATTTCTTCCAAATTTTATGTATGAAGCAAAAGAACTATGTACTTTTATTATTATTATTTTGTTGGTGATCATCTCTCTCTTCCCCAGACAAGAATAAGTTTATAATTTCTAAAGTTGTTCATTCCTTATTAATTCCTACTTATACTCCTATTGGCTCTTCTTTTCCTCTTTGAAAAAAAAAAAAAAAAAACTTCTCTAATTTAAAAACTAAGAAAAGGTAAAAGTGCAGTAGCTGATACATTTTAAATGTGTTAGCTCTTTCTTGTTAGTCAACAGTGATCTGAATGCTGTGACCAAAGATACTTTTAATTATGATTTCTTCTATTTTTATATCAGTTTTTGAAGCATATATTTTCCCATTTTCCTCAGTACTGGAGTTAGGAAAAACTAAGACTTAAGAAGGTCAATTGACTTTTCTCAGATCTATGCCAGAGCTCAGACAAGCATGTCTTCTGCCTCTTATCTGGTGCTTCTCTTCAATAAAAGGTGTTGAATGTTTTCTTTGGTTGTAAAATACAATCAGAGCAGTTTTTTGAGCTGACATTTAAGTATTGGCTTAATGCTCAATTTATAAGAAGAATGTGTGTGTGTGTTTATCACCAAAGAATATCTTAGTTAACCCTGAGCTAAAACAAGGTTTGCTCTTTTTTGTTAAAAATGATGTAGTTAGAAAATGCTTAGAGTTTGAAAATGCTTTTGAGCTCCTGTTATATCATCTAACATATCTTCAAGCAAGTGTGCTTTAATCTTTACATAGCATCTTAATTTTGATTGTTGAGGAATTTTGTGTGATGYCTGAGGGAAAAGAGGTGGCAGGGACTCAGCACAGATACGTAATCAAATATGATGTGCTTATGGCTATAGTGTGAGAACTCTGATCATTTTAGTGGAAAAGAACTTGCAGAATCCATCATTAACTGATCACTGCCAATTATATCTTTGGTGCATATCCAAAGCCACCAGTAAAGTATAGTTTTTTCCAAGTTTTATACTTATGTACCCCAAACAGGAGAGTATAGGGGAACATAGCTCAGTAGTAGAGGACTCCTGGATTCAATACCACACACACACACACCAAAAAAAAAAAAAAAAAGATAGATACTGGTAGTGTGTGATTATACATACAAAGGATATGCAAGAAAACAATATGTTCAAGTGGGAGGAAAACATTCTATTGTATCAAAGCTTTGAATGTAATATAGAGTGCCTGTATTTAAAAAGTAAATGAAATAGCATCAAAAGTAGAGTGTGTATATTATATACACTTTTATATCAGCTTTTAAAATCTAAATAAAACATATAATTTGCCAGAAAATATGTACTATCAAAATCAACTCAAAGAGAAACTGATAATCATAAAATAAAGAAGTAAAGAATTATTCCTAAAAAAAGATATTGGCCCAGACAATTGTACAGGCCAATTCTACCAAAACTTCAGAATGCAGATAACCTCTGTGGATTAGAAAATTTTAAGGAAAACAGTCCCAATCCATAAAAATTAGAAGACATGTTGTCATTAGGGCCATTAATGATCAAAGAATCTTTTAAGATCTACAGTCTTACAGTGCAATTTAATTGTCTTATTTTCAGGTTCACCAAGCTGGTCTAACCTGTGATTATTCAGAACTTCCTCACCATATCAGCACAGAACAAGAAATTGAGTACCTTATTCAGTCTGTATGTTGCTTACTGAAAAGTTTACCAAAACCTACTCTTGTGACAATTGCAAGGTAAGTGCAGTAAGCTCAATAACGGTCCACCAAAGACATACTAATCTCTGGACCTGTGAATATGCTGCTTTATTGTGGTAAAGGGAATTTGCAGTGTGATTAACTCAAGAATTTTGAGATGAAGAGTTTATCTGTGTAGACCAGTATTATCACAGGATCCTAAGAAAAGTAAGGCAGAAAGATCAGAATCAAAGAGAGAGAAAAAGCTTGGAAAGTGCTATGCAGCACCTTTGAAGGTGAAGAATGGGGCCACAAGCTGAGAATGAGGCAGCCTCTGGAAGCTAGAAAAGGCCAGGGAACAGACTCTCTCCAGAGCCTACAATATGTATTAAAACACCACACTAGACCAGATGCATCTTTAGCATCACTAGCATAGCAGTTACAAAGGCAGAAAGATAACCACATACCAAATACTACCAATAGCACTACCATGATGATGTGATTGTTCTCATTATTGAATAACTTCTTAATAAAGGCCTTACCTTAAAAGTCCAGTCTTAATTCACAGAGTAGTTGCACTCCTAGAAAATTCGTTAATATCTAATCCATTTTCAAAAAATACAAGTTTTAAATTCTAGGCTCAAAAATTTAAAAATTGGTTTCTCACTTGGTGAATGCTCCATGATTTTGGAAAAGTACACAGGACATAGGGATAATTATTCATATTGCAGGACTGTTGAAAGCATCCCAACAGTTTAGCGCTCTTCCCCCAGTCTCTTGAATGTCAATAATCTTCCCCTAGTCACTCTGTCAATCAAAAATATACCTATAAATTTCCAAAACCCCCTCTTGGGGGTAGCTCCCATAAAGTACCATTGCAATAGTGTTTAAAAGAATTTAGAAATCACCACCACCACAGAGCAGGGATCAAATCTAGAGCTTCATGCATGCCTGACAAGTACTCTACCACTAAGCCACAATCCCAGCCCAAAAAATTTGAAAGCCATTGAATACCCTTATTAAAGCTTATAAGTAAAGCTTTTACATAAGATACTTTTAAGCAGGTCTTTTTTTTTTTTAATCTGTATATAGTTTCTAATTGGAATTTACAATAGCTAGGCCACAGCAATAGCCCAAGAGTCAATCAGAATGCACTGTGTAAAAAAGCCCAAGAGTAAGGCCACTTCATTTATGAAATGAAGTACTGGACAGTGTTGAGAAATCCTTGTGATCTGTTCACTGAGGAGTGACCACTTTCATTTTGGAGTATATGAAGACAAATKTAAGCAGATACAGCATTCTAGTGCTTTCAAGTTAGCCAACAAGGCCCAGTTAGATTGACCTCCACAAACTGAGGGCCCTACTAAGCCAGAAATTTTGTTTCAGGTAACAAAGTAGGAGATAAATTTCTCTTTTAACAAAAGCCTGCTATTGTTTCATGTACAGCTAAGACACTGTGGGCCTATGAATCTGCCGTTTAAACAGTTTTCATTCCGCTAGTTGAGGCTTGCTGGGCWATCTTCATTTTGTTAGTTGTTAAATCCAAGATGACATACCCCAAAACTGGAATTTAAGGCAGAGGCCTCTACTGAAGCCAAAGGTTTCCACTGTGTAAAAGAGCCCAAGAGTAAGCTAAGAGCCGATTTTCTTCTTCACATTCCATTCTTCCTGACTGGGAGAATTCATTATATGACTTGTGGGAAATAGAGCRTATACCATATTGATTCTTACTGGGTTTTTTTTTKKTTGKTTTTTTTTTTGGTTTTTTTTTTTGTCAATGGGGGGATTGAACCAAGGGCCTCACACATGCTAGGCAAGCACCTTATCACTGTGCTACATCCCCAGCACTACTACAYTTGGAGATATAGAAGTAACCACAGTGTATTGATTGCACTGACCTAAACAGTTCCATCCACCAAGTTACTTTTGTTTCCCTTCCAAACCACATTAGCTAAATCTAGGGGACCCTACCTCCATCAGAATTGGCAAGTTGTTGACTTGGGCACTTGTATCCAATAAAGCCATAAACATTTGRGTCTTCCCTTCCCAGACATCACCCTAAAATACTCAGGTTTCCAGCCCTGATAAGGAAACCTTACTCTTTAAAGAAACTGTGGCTGTGGTATGGGACTGAAGGAAGTGGTTTTATTCCATTCAACAAGAAATAGTTCGTTTGAGCTGTATGGTGGCTGCTCACTGTTCAACCCAAATCAACCAACAAAAATTCCTCTCCCAACACTTTAGGTTCATCTAAAACACTGTATCARGTGATACCATCTACTTCATTATATGGAAAGGATGACTTTTGTATGAATTCTCTGATCATCCCTGAGAAACTCCTCAAACCAGTAGTCTTCTGATTTAAGCAGGTCTTTATCCATATGTGTAACTTAGTATTTAAAAATTTAACACTATATTTATCATTTATTTATTGTGTCTTAAATGTTTACATCAAGCCTCAAAAGTAACACAGTCACCAGAGAATGGAATGAGTTTGTTAGAGGTCTTACAGATTATTTCTTTAATATTATTTTTTAATCTCTAATAACAAATGCAAAGAAGTAGGCTGCTAATTCCAGTTTCTTCCAAAAGGATTTCCTATGCCACTTTCTCCATTCATACTCTAAACGRTTTTCCTCACCCCAATCTAGAACAAAGAGTCACTGATCAAATCTTTTCACATCTTAATACTGTAATTGGCAGTAACATTGTAGCTGCTCAGTGCAACTCAAGTTGTTTTTAGGGAATTCTAAAAAGACTCCCAAAATACAAATTGCTGCCCACCCCACTTTGCTCCATTCTCCTTCATCCTACATAGGAAATTAATCTTAATGTCATCAAATTCTGACATTACATTTTGGACCAAGCCATGGATCCTTTCCATTTATGGGATTAACAAATTGTAGAAGTAGAACCCTTTCATCAACTAGAAAACCTTTACCCTACTCATTTCTAGCCCTAGTATAAGCATAATAAAAATAAGAAAGACACCCAGTCACTGAGAAGATAAATTCCTGTGCCCTATAGCAACATCTCCCTTTCAGGGAAGAGTAGTAGTTATTAAGCACTTAGGATCACATCACATGGTTTGAAACCTGTCACTAGCACTTACTTACTAGCTGTGTGACCTTGCACAGGTTAATCCTTCTTTGTTCTAATTTCCCTTATAGGGAGGTAATTGTACCTGTTTTATAGAATTGCTGAGAAAATTAAGGAACAAAATTCATGTAAAGTGCCTGACAGGGTAAATATTTATTAACTTTCAACTGTTGAAAGAATTGAATACACCTACATATCTATTTTACATTGAAATCAACACATGCAGCCTCTTCCTTCTTCACAGTGTGGTTTTTATCTTATATTTGTGTATATTTTTTCTCTTTTTTGTTCTTGGTTCCAGGTCAAGTCTGGATGATTACTGTCCTTCTGAACAAGTTGACACCATTCAAGAAAAGATCCTCAGTGTGCTGCACTCCCTTTATGGGACTCTAGACACTCACCTGGTATATTCAACAGAATATTCTACATCTTGAAACATACAAAACACTAGGTTCCTGTTACATCCTATTATAATAGAGTTTTCATTAACTTATTTGTAAATGAGTCTTCCAGAGAACACTTTTTACGTTACTATCACTTGAAATCTTTCASATATTTTAAATCTTCAAATATCAATTGAACAAAGGCAGGTTTTGGGGGGTTTTTTTGTTTTGTTTTGTTACATCAAATCCCAACTGTTGCTTATCTTTCTTTTCTTTATTGTCTTTATTTATGAGGATTTTTTTTTCATCTTCTTCTTCCCAGGTCAATTGATCTGTATGAGATTCATTCTTACATTTATTTATCCATTCAACCAGCTGACATTTATTAAGCATTTATGTGTGCCAGACATTATCAAGTGCGGGTGTGTGGTAATGAACAGAATAGACAGGGCCCTGCCCTTTTGGAAGAGGTAAATGAGAAGCAAATTATGGGTCATGAACAATGTTATGAGAGAAAGAACAACCACAAACATATCTTAGGCATGCTCTTAGTACTCAGAATAYTATGGAAATTATAGAAAGTAACATTCGCAAAAGCTACTACCAAAAAAAAAAAAAAAAACCTTTACCAATCCATAACTTACAGGAAGTTAGCCTTTCCAAGACTCTTGGGATTGTGGCCAGACAGAAATGCTCTCAACATTGTGATTTTTTTTTTTTCAAAAATAGCTTTGTTGAGATATAATTCACATATCATACAATTCACATTTAAACTGTGCAATTCAATGATTTTTTAATATACTTTTGAATATATACAAAACCAATRTCACAGTTAATTTTAGAACATTTTCATTGCCTCAAAAAGAAACCCTGTATTAGATACCATCACTCGATCCACCCATTTTATTCACTCCCTGCCCCCCACCCACCCCAAACAACCACTTTCTACTTGTTCTTTTGTGACCAGCTTCTTTTATTTGGCATGTTTTCAAGGATCATCCATTGTGCACCACACATCACAACTTCATTTCTCTTTATAAGTGAATAKTAGCAGTGTGATTTTGATTTTTGGTTTGGGGTTTTTTGCAGGACTGGAGATTGAACTCAGGGGCACTCACTCTACTACAAAGCTATATCCCCAGCCATTATTATTTTTTTTATCTTGAGACAGGGTCTCACTAAGTTGCTGAGGCTGGCCTGGAACTTGCAGTCCTCTTGCCTCAGCCTCATAGGTTGCTGGGATTACAAACATGCTTCTCCCAGCCCAGCTTCCATCACTGTTTTATTAAAGAGGTCTGAAGCTGGGGGTGGTAGTACACACCTATAATCCTAGCAACTTGACAGGCTGAGGCACAAGGATCACAAGCTCTAAGCCAGCTTTGGCAATTTAGCAAGACCCTATCAAAATTCAAAAAAAAAAAAAGAAAAAGGGCTGAAGATATAGCTCAGTTTTAGAGCGCTCCTGGATTCAGTCTGCAGTGTTGGGGGTGATAGGGGCAGGGCCTGGTTGAATTAACTTTATTTAYCAAACAAATTCACTTTTTGGGACTGGAGCTGTAGCTCAGTGGCAGAGTGCTTGCCTAGCATGTGTGAGGCACTGGGTTCAATCTTTAGCACCACATTAAAATAAACAAAATAAAGGTTTGATGTCCATCTACAACTACCAAAAAAAAAAAAAACTTTTGATTTTGGTTTTGGTTTTGCTAACCAGAAAAGCACTTCAGGGATTTTTGCCCATCCTAATAGTCATTGTGGGTATCAGTTATCATTGTTCCATTTTATTTAAATGCCATTTTATTGACAATCTGAGTTGATAAATTTTTAAATAACCCAGCTTGTTATGAAAAAGTAGAAAAACTTAAATCTTTAATTTTGACCTGCCATAAATACCCAAGGACACAACTGTCTCTTCACCAGCCTCCTCATAATACAACCAAACAAAATGAGTTCACCCCTTGATGAGCACAAAGCCAATAAGCACAACCAGGAGATGAAAGAATCAAGAAAGGCTTGCTACTTGCAACAGCTAAGGAGAACATTAAAGATCTTATCTGAAAGTAGTGCCTTTTATGGAATGAAGGGATGTTACTAGAGAGAGGCTTGTGTGCACCTTCTGGAGGGGATTGTTATCAAAGGTGGTAAGCACATTCCTGCACATGCAGTTAGAGGTCAGCTTCTTCACAGGGTCCATGTTTGAAATGGTGGATGAGAGTGCCTCTGTGGTGGAGAATTTAACATTATGATATTATAATGAGCAAGTTTCACTCTAAGTCACCCTGAATAATAACTTGGTGATTTTGAGCTAGTTTCATGTGTTTTTTCATGTGGTTTCATGTGTTTTTTTTCTCTGGAAAGCTTTATCTGAAACAGCAACAAACAAAAACACAGCTTGAAGGGATGTGTCTTCACCCCCCTCCCACAACAAACATAGGTGTTTACCCCTATGAGTTCCTGCCTAAAATAAAAATAAGATAACCCTTCTTGAGACACTCTTAATCATGGAAATTCTTATTTTCCCAATTTGCCAAATCATCCTGCTCTTCAGTATGCCCTTTGTTAAGTAACCATTTTAACTACCATTTAATTTCACTTCTTTTAAAGGATAAAATGGCATGTAAAGACAAAAGAAAACAGCACTCATCCACAACTGTAAGTTGTATGTAGCTAAAATCATAGGGTTACCTAATTTTATGAATATTCAAGGACATATTACTATTGTCATTCAGTAGATGGCACCAGACCCCATTTTTCCACTGATTATGTATTCCAATGAATTTTTCTTATCACCAAGTTGATTTCCAAAGTCTGATGGTTTTGAATGCTTGTGTTGAATTTACTTAGCTTTCCAGTTTGATAAAACATTATATTCCAGAAAGGTTTATGTTCTTGTAAAAATCAGAATTGCAAAATTGTGCTATTTATTTATTTTAAATTATAGGCATAACTTTCATGAATAAATTATTTTGTGTGCTAAAAGAAATTAAAAGATGTGTTTTGAATTTTTAAAGATTTGGGGGTTGTTGTTTTCTTATTTTCAATGCTAGTGATTGAACCCAGGGCCTCCCACATTGAAGACAAATACTCTTCCACTCAGCTACATCCCCAGTCCTAAAGTTTAAAAGATTTTAAATCAAACTATAGCACTAATTAATTGTTTCTGATCACAGTATGTTGATATCATTGATCTTATAAGTCTGAAACTCAAGTGTGATTCATCATTGCTTTAATTCAGGCTGAATAAAAGAACATCAAATTCTGTTACAGGAACACTCAGATTGTTTAATTCTCTTGTTCTATGATTGTGTCTTTGAAGAAAAAAATTTAGTCCCTGCTTGTTGAATAAAACCATAATTTACTAATTATGTTTCTGCACATTCCAAATAGGAAGATATTTACTCAAGACATTCTTTATTTGAGTTCTAAGCACATATGAGGAAAACATGTATAAATATAATAATGTACATTCCAAATAGGAAGATATTTACTCAAGACATTCTTCTTTTGCATTCTAAGTACATATCAGGGAAACATGTACAGATATCATTAAAAAGTCCAGCCTTTGCTAATACTCTTGAGTGATAATTTTATTAATTAATTTGAGTGATAATTTAGAAATGATGTCTGTAGATATCTGTCTTTATGTGTTCCAGGTTCCCATGAAGCTTAGTCAATATTTCTCAATCTTTATGTAGTAATCTCTTCTGATCTTCATTTTGTTTAGCAGTAGTAGTCCTGGATCACTGGCAGTTGATCCATTTTACTGCCAATTGTTCACTGTCAGTTTCAGGTRTGTGTATACAAAATTCTTTTCATACACTATGTATTTTTTTTTAACCTTTTATTTTGTTTGTTTGTTTTTTTGTGGTGCTGAGGTTCGAACTCGGGGCCTTGCACGTGCCAGGCAAGCACTCCACCGCTGAGCCACAACCCCAGCCCTGCACTATGTATTTTAAGAGAAAGTGCTTTTGTGAAACTCAAGTAGGTTTTGTTGGACTTCTTTCAGAAATACATTTTTCTTATATATTTAGGGCATACAATATGTTCTYACATATATACATAGTGAATTGATCAGTGTAGCAAAGTAAATTAATATGACTACTCACATAGTGTTCGTAGTGGGGGCAGATGGTAAGAGCACCTAAAATTACTCATCCAGCAAAAATCCCAAATATTATTTTAACTAAGTCCTCACGTTGTACATTAGATCTCATCCTGCACTCCTGCAACTCTGGATCCTTTAACCTAAACCTCTCCATTTTCTCTTCTCCCCTGCTCCCTGCTTATGGTAACCACCGTTTACCATTTTTCTCTACCCCACTCACTGTTCACCTTTCTTCTTTTGGATTCCACATATAAGCAAGAGGATGAGCTTTATAAATCCCACTGTGCCCTGCACCCTTACCCCCTTCAGTGGTAGCACTTCTGTTGTGCTGGTTCCTCAGCTCCTTCTCCTAGATTGCCTCTGTACTTTCATAGTTCTGGTTGCATTCGTAGGACTACAGACAGCAGCACCAGACTTTCCCTTTACTCTCACTTGAGTTCAACAGATGAAGTTATGATGACGAAGGAGGTTTCCATGAACGTTGAATTTTAGAAGTTCTCTGAGCAGTGAATATTCTGATTATATACTAGAAGGATGTGTCTATATTTCTATAAATTAGTTAGCTGGCATTCTGCACATTAGTACTTGGAAGTTTGGTTCCTATMATTCAGAAACAGGTTAAGACAAGGCTGAGGCAACACGATTTCACTTCTTTTGAGAGCCTTCCCCAAATAACCAGCGTACAGCTACTTCTATCAGGTAGAAGCATCCCTACCATGACTTCTAATTTCAGTACCACTCTTCCACAGCAGTAAGCTCTTTGAAGCCTACTGAGCAGCCTTCAGCACTGCTTAGAGGCCATGGTACCTCATTTAAGGTGAGTTATGGCCAGATCTAGCCAAGTAAGACACTTCATGATAGAAATATAAATACAATAGAGCATAGTAGCAAATGTATGGGCTCCAGAGGCCAACTCCTGACTCCAGTGCCCCCTTCTCTTTGTTCTAGCTGTGAGACCTCTTTAAGTTTCAGCTGTCCCCCACCTTTTTTTTTTTTTCCACCAGTACTGGGGATTGAATTCAGGGATGCTTTGCCACTGAGCTACATCCCCAGCCCTTTTTATTTTGAGACAAGATCTCACTAAGTTACCCAGGATGGCCTTAAACTTGCAATCCTTCTGCCTCAACCTCCTRAGTTACTGGGTTTTCAGGAGAATGCCACCATGCCCAGCTTCAGTTTCCCCAATACAACTTCACCCATCAGGACATTGTGAAGAAGAGTGCACATAAATCCCCTCACACAGGAATCTTTCAGTAAACACTAGCTATTTACAAATTCAGCCCTACATAGAATACCCTGTGATATCTGTACCAGGTCCCAGCTGCTCTTCTCATATCTCTCCTCTGAATACTAATTTCTTAAATCCTCCCAGGAGTTATCACAATAGTTCTATGAATAGCAGAAGAGGAAAGATCTGTATTCCAAGAAGGTAGACCCTTTCTCATAAGGAAAGAAGTAACAAAGGGCTTTAAGCAGAGTTATTCATAATTTAACACTTTCTCTTTCATTTGGTGCAAGCAAACCATTTACTCAAAATTTTTAATCTTTTTTAATAATTTTTTAGTTGTTGAACCTTTATTTTTTATTTATTTATATGCGGTGCTGAGAATTGAACCCAGTACCTTACACATTCCAGGCAAGTGCTCTATCACTGAGCCACAACTCCAGCCCATGATTTTTAATCTTTACTCATGTAGTCAGAGAGGGTCAGGTGTTCATGATGTTATCTCTTATGGATTAGGTAAGACCTAATAGGAACCATGTTTCACAATACTGTGTAAGCATGACCCAAAAATACACTTAGTTTGAATTTCTGCCTAAAATTTAAAATCTAACATTAGATACTAATATCCAAAAAACTGTGTATATATAGTTTTGATTCCTAAAAATATATAAGGGAGTGACACTTATTCCTCTCTTTTGAGAGGAATAGAAATACCTTCTGTTATACCCCAGCCTTGTCTGCACTTATACACCTTCCTGGGCAAGGAAGAATAAAAGAGAATTTCAGGATGCCTTCTTGTAGAAGGACGTATTCTCCCAGGCCGCAGGTTTTCGAGGGCCGACACCATGGAAGAGGCTTACAGTTGCTCAGTGGTGCCAGTGGGTGACAGTCTCTAGGTTGCAGCATTAGGAAGCTGTTGATAACAGACTTAAGCCATATTCTCTAACATCAGTTTTATTATTAATGAGGATGTACGTGTATCTCCATCTGCCTAAATGTGCCAAGTTCTAAGTTATTTAGAAACTTAGTGGAGAATATTGATGATGTCCATTGAGCTTCATTCAACCTCAACATGACCATATTTGCTTGTTAAATACTTTCTAAATTTTTGTAATAATTTATAAGCCGGTTTTAAAGCATTTTAAAAAGTTTATAAATTTAACAGCTCTTTGGAATCCTAATGAAAAAGGAGAAAATGCTTTGACTGAATTAATCCAGAACAACATATCTTCCCTAAATAATCTGTTTTTATCTATATCTATGCGATATAGATATTTTTTAAACTTTTAAGATTTGTTTTGCTTTTAAGTGTTTTTCTTGGATGTCAGACTCGTCATTTAATTTTTATTTGACATCATTCTAAGACAACACAGCATCCTAGCAGGATTCCTATATAAGCAACAACCAGTTATAAAATATCATAGAAAGAAGATTTATTTTGAAGACTTAAAAAAGTCTTCAAAAAAAGATAACTGAATAAACTAACTAGGCTGTATAAATAAAACTTTATAGTAAAGTTGCTAAAGATTGTAAATGAAGAAAAAGACATGACTATGGAAAGATATTTTGTTCCTGTATAAGAATTAACATTGTAAATATGTCAATGCTACCTATATCAAACTCTACATGTAATTTCAGTAAATAAACCAAGGAGGTCTTTTTTGTTTGTTTAAGCAGTGGTGGGGATTGAACCTAGAGGTTCTTCCTAGCTACACCCCCTGCCTACTTATTTTATTTTTGTTGTTATTCCATTTAATTGTTTCATCATTTTATTTTATTTGTGTTATGTTATGTTATTTTATGACAAGGTCTTCTTAAGTTGCCCAGGCTGACCTTGAATTTTCAGCTCTCTGTCCTCAGCCTACCAAGTCTCCAGGATTATAGGCATGTGCCTGCCACTACAGCCAGCTGGCGATTGTATTTAACTAATGAAACTGATTCTAAAGTTCAGATGAAAAAATGATGCAAGGAGAACCAGAAAAAAAATTAAAAATAGCAGTTAATAAAGGGATTAGCACCACTAGGGAGTAAAATACATTATGAAATTGTATTAATTAAAGCAGGATAGTACTGGCAGATGAGCAAACATGAATGAAAAAGAATAGGATCCAGAAATAGGCCTAAATTAGTTAAAGTAAGGACATCTGGCTTAACAAAAATGAAACAACAGCTCATACAAAATGAAAATTATTTCTCATTTTCAAAAAGTCTAATATGTGTCTGTGCTCAGCATACTCTCCTCTAAGCAATAATTCTGGACTCTTTGAATCTTTGGCTCTGCCATTCTCAACATGTAGTTTCCAAGGTTTTCCTAGAGGATACTTCATCTCACCTAGCATAAAGGTGAAAAGGATGGAGGATTACCTTTGGGAGGCCAACATGTGCCTGGCCCATCAATTCCTCACTGCAAGGGAAATGGAAATGCACCCTGTTAACGTGCCCCGAAAAAGAAGGGACAGATTTGGTGAACACCTAGCACTCTCTCCCACAAAACCCAACTATATAGTAAAATTTTATATATAACAAAAGTGGCATTTTATATCAGGGGAGAAAGATAAATTATTTCATAAATGATGCTGAAGAACTAAAGCTGGGGCTACAGCTCAATGATAGTGCATTTGCCTAGTATGTGACAGGTC